TGGTCAGCGGGCAGAGGGGTGGGGGCTGGGGTGGAGCCAGGGCTGGGAGGAGCCCGCTCACACATAAAAGCCGAGGCACTGACCAGCCTGCAAACTGGACATTAGCTTCTCCTGGGAGAGACCTCCAGCCTCCTCTTCCTCCTCCTCCTCCAGCCCCAGCGAGCTTCCTGTCGAGCTGCAGGTAACCAGGGCTGTCGAGCGAGGACCCGCACTGCCATCCCGCTCCAGCCTGCCAGCCTGCCGAGGGGCACCGGCCCACGCCTCGGGCCTGGGCCCCTGCAGCCCTGCCTGCCGCCTCTCCCACACCCCTCCAGCCCGCTCTCTGGGCCTCTGCCCTGCCCTGCCCTCCCACCTGGTTCTTGGCTTCCTCACCTGCCCCTTCCCTTCTGCCACCCTCCTCGTCCAGCAGCTGGCTCCTCCCAAGCCTCTCACCTGCCTGCACCTCTGCGTGCCTCTTGTTCGGTCTCCAGCTTCCCGCTGGTGCCTGGCTCGACCTCCAGCCACGGAGTGGTTGGGTTTGCGGGAGGCACCGCAAGGGCAGCCGGTGGAGCTGCCGCTGGGACCGACCCCGGCTGAGTCGCTAGCTAGCTGGGTGGTTGTTAGAATTTGGAAAGGGGGTGGCAGAGGGGGCAGCGAGGAGGTGATCAAGGTGGCTTTAGATCCCGCTGTGGAACTGGCCCCTGCTCTAGAGAGCTTAAGCAAGATTGTGTTTCTTTCTTATTCCCCGCTCAGTCTCTCACATGATTTATTGCATCAAAAAATCCCTTGGGCCTGTGGAGGGAAGGCTGGGGCTGCCAGCCTGGAGGGCCCCCCCCTTCTGCAGTGGCAGGGGCAGCTTGCTGTGTCCAGTCCGAGCCTCCCACCCCTAAGGGAGTTGGGTAACCCTTGCCCCAGCCAGCCCTGCTGCCACACAGCCTGTGGAGGGGCGTGTCCTGAGATGTGTCTCCCTTTCCACATTGAGCCTGGGGGACCTGGTGTCCAGCCTCCAGGTGGCCTGACCTGCTGTCTTCAGCTCCCGTGGGTGGAGTTTGTTGTCCCCAAAGGGGAGATGGTCTGGTGGTCACAGAGGGACTTGGAGGTCCCTGGCCCCGGGTAGTATGTTTTGAGGCCTGGAAAGAAGGCTTTTGGCTTTTGCATGTGTTTGTGGTGCCCAGGGCAGACCAGAATTGAGCACTGGGTGGCTCAGGAGAGCAGGGCACTTAGGAGTACGCGTGGCATGGTTGTGCTAACCACTGGACCCTTGACCTGAGCTCTGCTCAGCACAGACTGGAAGGGTGGTAAAGCCCTGGGAAAGGGGAAAGGGGTGGGGCTGGCTGCTGCTGGGGGAGGGGATGGTCCTCCTGGACCCCCCTGCTCGGCTGGGGTGGGGTGGGGAGGAAGAGGGCTGGTCCTCTTGGATTCACTTGCTCTATGGTGGGGTGGAGCCACCTACCATCTTGGCTGGAGCTTGGAGGCCTGAGATGTGGTGACGTGGGCCCTGGGGCTGGCCCCGCCCTCGTGATGTCATAGGATGGAGGCCAGGTCTGGTGTCCAGCACTGGCCCCTGCTGCTGCGGGTGTGGCTGAGCTCTTGCAGTAATGACGATGGGGACAGGCACCCCCATGTGAAATCACCAGCACGTCCTGCCCATCGCAGCTACCAAGCACTGGCTGTGTCCTCCCAAACTTGCCTTCATGCTTGGGGGACCCGGGCCCTCGCCTCAGCAGGGACAGCACGTGTGTCACTTTTGTGATTAAGACAGTAACGTGAAAAGGCCGCGCTCTGGGAGCCGGGGCGCCTCACTCACGTCACCCTCCTGCCCACAGACCCTGATAGGCCTCCCGATGGGGAAGTCGACGCTGGTGCTCCTCGCCTTCTTGGCCTTTGCCTCGTGCTGCATTGCTGCTTACCGCCCCAGTGAGACCCTGTGCGGCGGGGAGCTGGTGGACACCCTCCAGTTTGTCTGTGGGGACCGCGGCTTTTACTTCAGTAAGTAGCTCGGAGGAGCGGGGCGAGGGGAGGGATACACAGCAGTGGCTCAGCCAGTGTTGGATGCTTCATCAGGCCTGGGTCTGACCTCCCTGTGTGACAGGGAGGGCCCTCCAGGGTGAAGGGCCTGCCTGTGCTCTGGACTTTACCCTTCCAGGTGCATTAACTGAGCACCTGCAGCGTTCCTGGGCGGGGCCGTACCACCTGAGTCTCCTGCAATGGGACTCTCATGGAGGGTGGGCTGGGGATGCCCCCAGGCTTCATGGGAACTCACAGGGGTCCCCCTTGGGGTCAGAGCTCCAGGTAGGAGGACTTGAGGACCCTCTGCCCAGATGCCACGCCCTTGGGCAGGGCTGTGGACTCTGGGAAAGACACCTGCCTGTTTCCTGCACCTTTGGGCATTTTGACAAGGGGTATGTGTTCATGGGTGATCAGATTTTAAATTCAATGAAGTGGATTTAAAATCAATAAAAGCAAAAGCAAATGTGGTTGGCTGGTGGCAGGGCTGAGTGTGCACACACTACCATGGGGGGTGCAGGGGGAGAGAGGGGCCCGGGGGAGGGTGGCGGGGCTGGGGCGCCCACCTGCTGATTGTGAGAGTGCTTTGATTGCTCTCCCTGCTTGTCTCTTGATTTTCCAGCCTCAGGGGCTGGTGGGTGGGCTCACTGCTTGCCGTCCTGTAGACTCACCCCCCCAGAAGAGGGGGCTGGGTGGACACCGGGATAGAAGCTGGGGGCATGACAGAGGGCGTTGCAGCGGGGACTGCCCTTGCTGCCGTGGCCGCCTGTCTTCCCCAGCTGGGACTCTCACGGGCACCTCTTCTGCAGCCTCTTCTTGCCCACGCTGGGGCTCACGGCTCTTCTCTCTGAAAAGTTCTCCTGCTGCTGGACGCTCTGTCACCCCCGCCCCCGGCCTCTCCTGTGCCTCTCCCTTGCCTGCCTGCCTGCTGCCTCTTTTGGGGGTAGGCTCTGCAGGGCCAGGTGCCAGCCGGTCCCCACGTAGGCTCTCCTAAGAGAGGGGCGAGTCCCACTTCTGAGACCCCGTGACGGGGCTCCCTCCTTTCCCCACCCACCGATGGCACCTGCCCCCTGGCACCCCAGGGTGAAGCCCCAGCGACTTTCTCCTGCAGCTGATCCCTGCCGTGGGGGAGAGGGGGAAGACGGGATGACAGAAGGGAGCGATTCCATGGCTTCCTCACTCCTCTCCTCCCGTCTTCTCCTCTCCTGCCCTGTCCTGCCCGACTCAGCGCTCTAGGGGTGTGGGGGGGCCCCTCCTGGCTCCTAGGTCATGTCAGGTCAGGGTTCCAAGCTCAGGGAACATGCTTGTGTCTACCAATGGTCCCTCCTGCGGGTCCAGGCCCCTCGCTGGGCAGCCCCCTGAGCTGGACTCACACCCCACACGTTTTCCAAGCCACCTGCAATGTGGACCTCTGGTACCGGAGGTGTCTGGCCAGCTGTGGGGCCGAGAGGCTGTGCCCATGTGCAGTGCGAGGAAGGAGGCAGCAGAGGCCAGGGGCCGGTCCAGAGCATGCCCCACACCTCTCTCCTTTCGGGACACCTCTGCCTGCTGTCTCTCGCTTCTCCCCCTGTCTTTGCAGGGTGACCAAGTGTCCATCTAGGGCCTGCCCTGTGGGCAGCGGTGGACTTCTCCAGCCCTCCTTGGGGGGGCTGGGCACTGAAGTCAGCTCTCTCTGTCCTGTGGGTATTCCAGGCAGGCCTGCGAGCCGCGTGAGCCGCCGCAGCCGTGGCATCGTTGAGGAGTGCTGCTTCCGCAGCTGCGACCTGGCCCTCCTGGAGACCTACTGCGCCACCCCCGCCAAGTCCGAGAGGGACGTGTCGACCCCTCCGACCGTGCTTCCGGTAAGGTCCGCCTCTCTCTGGAGACAGATCGTTCCCTTCAGCAGCTGGGACCTCTTAGCCAGGGGTCAGGGACAAGCCAGCTTCTTAATTTCAAGTGTACCTGGGGAGCAGGTCACATCTTTGGCCCTTGTGCCACCTCCCCAGGGACGTCGGCTTGAGTTATTGACCCGTTACACTTTCGCTGGTGCGGTTGCAGGTGTGGGAGAGTCTCCCCATCAGGTCGCCGTGAGGCCCACGCGGGAGGGCGGCAGCTCGGGTGGAGGAGCCCGTGGCCCGGGCACCTGCTGACTGGCCCCTCCCCTCTCAGGACAACTTCCCCAGATACCCCGTGGGCAAGTTCTTCCAATATGACACCTGGAAGCAGTCCACCCAACGCCTGCGCAGGGGCCTGCCTGCCCTCCTGCGCGCCCGCCGGGGTCGCATGCTCGCCAAGGAGCTCGAGGCGTTCAGAGAGGCCAAGCGTCACCGTCCCCTGATCGCCCTGCCCACCCTAGACCCCGCCCACGGGGGCGCCTCTCCGGAGATGTCCAGCAATTAGAAGTGAGCCAAATTGTCGTGATTCTGCACCATGGTACCATCACTCTGTGACTCCTCTTGACCAGGGTTGTTCCATCGGGTCCCATCCTAAAATCTCTCTGTCCCATTTCCCCAGAGCGGGCTTCTCCCAACCCTAGCCCCCATGCCCCGCCTCCCCAGATCAGGCTACTCTCCCTTCGGCCCCGTCCATCGGGCCGAGGGAATACAGTAACATCTTCAAAAATATACAAAACCGATTGGCTTTACACATCCTCCACGCAACACTCCCCCCAAATTATCTCCAAATTATCCCCAAATTACCCCCACTCACCAAAAAATTGAAAACATGAAACCCTAAAACACACACACACACCAGCTCCCTTGAAACTAATTGGCTTTTTAAAGAAACGCCAAAAAAACTAATTAGCTTAAAAAAAAAACCCAAAAACCAAAAAAATCAATTGGCTAAAAAATACTAAAAACGAATTGGCTTAGGAACAATTGGCAAAATAAAGGAATTTGGCACACACCCCCCCCTTCCTTCTCCTCCACTCTGGACCTTGAGTCAAATTGGCTTGGACTTGAGTCCCCGAAGCATCCAAGAGAAAGGAAGGGGACCCAGCAACTCACAGGTGGGCACGTGAGTGACCCGTGCCACCTCCCTTCTCACGAGAACCTTCTGACTGGGCACTTCCTCTGTGAACCGGCTGTCCCAACAACACCAGGGACCCAGACTCATTCCTTGCTCAATTTTCCATCACTAGAGATCATCACGAGGCTAGTTGGAGGGACCCAATAAGACCACAGGAGGGGAAAATGGATCCTGAAAACCAAAATTCGGCAAATAAAATTTAATTGGCGTCAACCTCCACACTCCCCCAAATCTTACATCCCAATCCTCACCCTAAAGAGCACACACACCCACATGCATCCCTGCAGCCACACGGACACACACCTGCAGGCACAACACACCCTCACACACTCATGCACCCACCTGCACACACACCTTCACACACACGCGTACACACATGCACCCACCACACACACATGCACACACCACACACACCTTCACATACACATGCACCCACCACACACACCTTCACATACACATGCACACACCTTCACACACACATGCACACACCTTCACACACACACACGTGCACACTCATGCACCCACCACACACATACACTTCACACACACATGCACCCACCACACACACCTTCACACACACATGCACACACCACACACACCTTCACATACACATGCACATATCTGCACACACACCTTCGCACACACACGTGCACACTCATGCACCCACCACACACACACACACACATACACACACACCTTCACACACACATGGACCCACATGCACCCACCTGCACACACACACACCCACCTGCATACACAACACACCCTCACACACACACCTACATATACGCAACCTTACACAGACACACACACGTACGCCACACACCCACATACAGCTGCACACATGTACATCTGCACACACGTACGCATCTGCTCACACACACATCCTCACACACTCACACGAACCCCCACACAATTGGATGAAAACGTAAATAACTAAGCAACTAAAATATCCGACCCCACATTGTGCAGATCAGGCTGAGACCCACCCCAAATTCTCTGAGCTGTTTTCATGGTCTGAGCTCCCCTCCCCTCTGAGGTCCCCACCTCCGCTGCCTGTGGCCCTGTTTTCGCCCTGCCTTCCCCTCATTGCCCTCCTCACCTCTCAGAGGACAGGGCTCAGATGGCCAAGGCCTGGGTGTGCAGCTGACCACCTTTGGGGCCGGAGCTGTGGGGCGTGACATCTTCCTGGGATGCGCCTGTAGGGTGGGAAGGGTGTGTCCCAGGCTAGGCTGAGGTTCCATCTTTCCACGATGAGGGAGGTGTCTCCTTCTCGGCGCCTGTCCCCACGGCCCCCTGCAGTGTAAGCCACGATGCTCCCCAGACCCCACCACCCGTACATCTTACGTATCGAGCATCGGCCTAGCCGGAGCAAGGAACGAGTTTGGCCAGATTGGAGTCGGTGGCAGCCCAGCAGACATGTCCCCGAGTAGCCTGATGGGGAGTGTGGGAAGTCTGGCGGTTGGAGGGGCGGGACCCAGACTCATTCCTTGCTCAATTTTCCATCACTAGAGATCATCACGAGGCTAGTTGGAGGGACCCAATAAGACCACAGGAGGGGAAAATGGATCCTGAAAACCAAAATTCGGCAAATAAAATTTAATTGGCGTCAACCTCCACACTCCCCCAAATCTTACATCCCAATCCTCACCCTAAAGAGCACACACACCCACATGCATCCCTGCAGCCACACGGACACACACCTGCAGGCACAACACACCCTCACACACTCATGCACCCACCTGCACACACACCTTCACACACACGCGTACACACATGCACCCACCACACACACCTTCACATACACATGCACCCACCACACACACCTTCACATACACATGCACCCACCACACACACCTTCACATACACATGCACCCACCACACACACCTTCACATACACATGCACCCACCACACACACCTTCACATACACATGCACCCACCACACACACCTTCACATACACATGCACCCACCACACACACCTTCACATACACATGCACCCACCACACACACCTTCACATACACATGCACCCACCACACACACCTTCACATACACATGCACCCACCACACAGAGGAGTGACAGTAGCGGGTAGAATCACAGAGAGAATCAGGAACCCAAATTTTACGTCAATTGATCTATTTCCCCTCTTTGTTTCTTGGGGCATTTTTCCTTTTTTTTTTTTCTTTTTTTTTTTGATCCCTCCTTAGCTTTTCATGCGCTCATAAACCAAATTAACCCCACCCCCTGTAACAGGGGGGCAGTGACCAAAGCAGAAGAGCACACAAAGCCGGCCACTTCCACCGCCACGTCCTGCCCCCCGCCATTTATCGCCCTTGATTTGATTTTTGTTTTTAGTCTGTCCCTGTCGCTTGGGTTGAGTTGAGAGTGGAGCCTCCCTGGGGCACTGGCCACTGTGCCCCCACGGAGAAGTCAGCGGGGAATTGAGAAGGCCGCTGCCCGGCCTGGCTTCCCGGGACTGTGGCTGGTCCCTGGAGGTCCTGAGGGGCGGAGGAGGGGGCGGGGCGGTGTCTCCCCAGGTGTCAGGAGGGTGCTCGGAGGCCACCAGGATGGAAGGGGAAGGGACTGTGGATGTGTAGACAGAGGGGCTCCATCAGGCTGGAGCAGGTGGTCGCCTTCCGCACACTTGGGGAGCCTTCCCCGTCCCCCTCGGTGACACCTTGCCCGCTCTTCAGCACCCTACCTTGTTCCCAGGAGATCTGGAGCTCCGCAGGGTCTCCTGGGAGCCAGGTGGGGTGAGGTCGGGCAGCAGGGGAGGTCAGCAGGGTTGAGCCCTGCAGAGCAGGAGAGCTGTCGAGGTCTGTCCATCGACCGGGGTCACTTGGGCCCTGAACCCGGCGGGTCTGGCAGTGCCATAGCAGCCACCATTGCAGTGCCTAGGACTGTGCAGGGACCCGGGCGGCTGGGAGGTTTACCTCACCCCCACTTTTGCCCCCAGCGCAGCCCCCCTGCACGACAGTCTGACTAGCAGTCTAGAGGCCCGAGGCTTCTGGGTCCCAGTGACGGGGCTGGCATGACCCTGGGGGCGGTCCATGTCAGCCCACCCACAGCACAGAGGGTCCCTCAGCAAGCGCCTGGAGAGTGGGCCATTCGGAACATTGGACAGAAACCCAAAGAATAAAATTGCTGTAATTGGAGAACCCAAACGATTGGCCCGAGATCCAAAAGACTTTGAGGCACCCCAAATTGCCTGCCCATTCGGCCGGACGCCCAGCCCACCCAGTGTTAACTTCCTGCCTCTCTGGGATGGGTGCTCTGGGGGCGCTCGCTGACCACCCTCTGTGTGCCCACTTTTGCAGCTCTCCCCTGGGTCACCAACCATCTTGACCCGGGCTCCCTGTCTGACCTCCCGAGCCCCAGCTGTGGCCCTCCATCTGTCTCTTCCCCGTGTTTCCCCTACTGTCTTCAGCGGGACCCCCTCTTGGGTCCCTCCCTTTGCCATCTCCTGAAGACCCCCCCACGCGCTAAACACCAAATGTCACCTATGCCTGCTGTCTCAGCCCATCTTGCAGCGGCCCGTGTTTGCCTCAACTTGACTCCTTTAACATGCTCATATTTCTGGCAAAATCCAATGCTTGGGTTTTGTCTTTAACCTGTAACGCTCGCAATCCCAATAAAGCATTTAAAATTATTTTCTGAGTCCTCCTGTCTTTTACTTGGGCCCTGGATTGAGAGAGGGAGGGAGGGAGGGGTCCGCATGCCTGGGAGGGGGCAGGGCACATAGCAGGTGGGGTGGGGGGGTAGGGAGGACCTTAGAGGCATGGACAACACCCCTCAACACACATCATGAAATGAGAAAGGCCCAAAGCTGGAGGGGCGCAGTGGTGACAGCCACACACGGGGAGCCAGGGGTCTGGGACAATGTCAGACACGAAGTTCTCGATGATGGGGTGCTGTGGAGTAGGCTGGGCCCCGTGGGGGGCTTTTCCAAAGAAAGAGCAAAGTGCTATCACTGCTGACCCCAGGGAACATCCCCCCAACTTTGGGGGGCCAGAGACCAGGTGGTTTCTGAAAGGTTCTGGAAATCACAGCTGTTGTTAGAGATGGGGGCACAGGGACTGGAGTTCCTGGCACACACAGACGGCTTCACCCGAACATCACCAGTATCCTCACCCCTTGCCAGGCACTGTGGATGCAGAGATGAGCAGGCCCTGCACCCACCTGCCCAACAGTGCTGGCCTCTGACCTTCAGGGGCCCCAAGCTGGCGAGGAGGGTGAGGTGGGCATCTGCTGTACCAGGAGGCCTGCCTGGCCTCTTCCCTCCACGCTCCACTCCAAGCCCCTCCACAAGCCCGCAGCTTTGTCTGCCGTTGCTCACCCCTTCATGGGAGGGGGGCTGGCAGCGTGAACAGGCAGGGTGCCGTGGACAGAACTCAGGGTGGGCACACAGCAGGACGGAGGTGGCCCTACTCTCAGGGCCCGTCTGGGTTGGGAGCTTGCTCCCTGGCACTGAGTTCTGCTTGTTCCACATCTTCTCGCTCACTGGCTCTCTCCGTCTCCATGCTTGAGACCAGGTTAGAGTTTCCTTCCCACCAGCCCCCACATCGGACGTCCCTGGAGGCCCCCTGCCGAGCTGGGTGCAGTGTCTCTCCCTTCCTCCCCAGGGCTGGTGCAGGGGCCTGGCCTCCCACCCCAGTGTCCTGGGCCTCTTCTTCCTGACTGTGCTGGCCCCAGGTAACTCCAACACTGGTATTGTCTGCCCCAATGCCTTCTCCAGCGGCCCTGCCCCTGCCCAGCTCCCCATGCAGCCCCTCACCCACTGCAGTCTGGATCCACCTCCACACTTGCTGGCATCCAGCTTTCGCAAGACCCCTGTGACCTCCCCTGACCTCCCTGCAGCCCTGGGCACAGCCGGCTTCTCCCCTCAGTTCCCCAGGGTTAGCTCCCACCTCTCACCACCCCCCTCAGGGCTGCCCCTGCCCCATCTGCTCTTCTTGGCCTAGCTTCATTTGAGGTGTTCTGGGACTGTCTCAGGCTCTCTTTTCTGCCTTCTCCCTGCTCTGCAAATTCTCAGTTCATCCCAGTGAAGCTCCCTCCCTCCACCATCCAACTATTTCTCCACCCTCCACCCATCCATCCATCTATTCATATACCCATCCCTCCATCCGTCCACCCATCCACCGATCCACCCATCCACACCCACGGACCCATGTGCAGTCCACCCCAGATTGACAGATAGGCTCAGCGTTGTGCAGACAAGGAACAGAGAAAGGGGACAAGGGTGATGGGGTGCTCTTTGAGGCAGGGCAGTCCTCATGGAGAAGGGGACCTTGGCACAGAGACCTGAAGGAGGTGAGGGGGAGCATGAGGCGTATGGGAGGGGAAGAGTGTTCCTGAGCAGCAGCAGGGGGCCGGGTGGGGTGCGGGCTGCAGGAGGGCCTGCGTAGAAGACGTCAGAGCCGCAGCGAGCGCCCAACAGCATGGGCGACCCAGGCCGTTGCCACTCCTCGAACAAACGCTCACGGACCCCACTGCAGTGGGTTGGATGATGGCCCTCCAAGAGATCTGTCCACATCCTGACCCTGTGACCTGCGTATGGACCTCGTTTAGAAAAAGGGCCTTTGCAGATGTAGTTAAGTGAAGGATCTCCTGACGAGATCGTCTCAGATTTAGGGTGGGCCTAAATCAAATGACACGTGTCCTTAGAAGAGAGGAGAAGGGGAAAGGACAGGCAAGGAACAGGCCAAGTGACAGAAGAGGCAGAGGCTAGAGTGACACAGCCACACACCGAGGAATGCCTGAAGCCACCAGCAGCTGGAGGGGGCAGGAGGGACCCTCTAGCACCTTTGGAGGGGTTACAGCCCTTCAGACAGCTTGATGTCAGACTTCTGGCCTCCGGGCCTGTGGGAAAATGGATTCCTGTTGTTTTAGACCCCCCAGTTTGTGGTCATTTAGGACACTGATTACATGAGGATGCACCTGCGCCATTGCAGTTCACGTTCCAGGTGCTGAGGATGCTTCAGGGAGCAAGTGTCACTGAGGAAGCTCCGATCCACAGTCCCCGCCACCCGCTCCTGCTTGGCCAGGCCCAGCCCCTCCCGCCTGTCCAATGCTCCACTCCTAACCTCCACACAGCGCCCAGGTGGGCTTCGAAAACAGAGCAGGCCCCACGTCTGCTTGGAATCTGGCAGTAGCTCTTTATTTCCCTGGAGACAAGCCAACATCCTCAGGGTTACCCATGGGCTGCCCTCATCTGGCCACCCACTGCCCTCCACTGCCGCACCTCTGTGGCATCTGCCCCAGCCACAATAGCCCTGGGTCCAGGTGCCTCAGGGCCTTCGCATGGGCTGTGCTGACTAGGCCACTTCTGCAGATATTCAGCTGGGTCATCTCTGCTTAACAGCACCCTCATGAAGCCCACCCGGAGCACTTTCTGTATAATGGCAACCAGCATTGACATGTCCCACCATTGCCCGATGAATAAAGAGCTTCAAAATGCCACCTGCTGGGGCCAGTTCAGCTCCCCAAAGGTGTCCTGCAGACCCCTGGGCCCAGTGTGCTCACACCCGCCTCCACCTGCTCCGGGGCCCTCTGCCCTCCTTCCCACCCCGCGTTGAATTGGTGGCCTCCACCAGCCCCTGGCCCCTGCTGCTGTCCAGCCTTCAGTTGAGCCCCCACGGCCATTCTCTGCCTAGAACCCTCCGTGGCTCCCATGGGCCACTGGGTAAATTCCAGAACTCCAGCTCTTGGGCTCTGCAGCACCTGGCCCCTCCCCAGTTCCTAGTTGTATCTCGATCCTCCCCCCACCCCCTTGCTGCTTTCCTCCCCCGACTCCCTGGCCCTCTGGCATCTGCCCTCACCCCGGCGGCTCCCGGTCTCCTCTCCTGCATTTAGCTCCTGCCCCATCCCCCAGAGTGCTGGTCACCTTGGGTGCCAGTCGTTCCCTGTCAAGTCCTCTCTGAGCCCACTGGAGCTCTCTGCAGCCCCCAGAGCCCAGCGGCCAGAGAGGAGGTCCTAGAAGTACTCGAGGGACCCCATCACACCCGCCCTGGGCCAGCTGCTGCCCAGCGCTCTCTGCTGCCCCTCACCTGCAAGGGTGAGCCCAGCCTCCCCGGCCTCTGGCCCAGAACGCCCACCTGGCCTTGGCCCCTGGGTCACATCCTCAGGGACCCTCATCCACCTGTGCAGCTGGCCCTGGCTCCCAGGGCCCTGCTCCTCCCAGCTGCCCAGGCCTGGGCCCCCGCTGGTGCCTGTGCACAGGTGCGGCCAGGCGGCAGGCAGCCTGGCCTGGGGTGGGAGCCACAGACCGACAGCCCCCCCAAGCCTGGCCTCTACCTGCTGTGCTTGTCCCTGGTGTGCCCAGCCCCCTCTGGCCTCAGGCCTCATTAGGCAGCCTCCAGCCTCTTCCCCGCTCCCAGCCCAGCCAGCCCAGGCCTCAGCCGGCCAGGAACCAAAGAGAAAATGCCTGTTTATGCCAGTTATGCCGAAAGCAAAACAGTTTGTGGTTTGTGACCCAAATTTTTTGCCTTTTTTTTCAGAACATAACAAAGCCCAAGACAACTCCCTCCCCACCCCCAGCCCTCCCCCCCAGGCAGACAGAAATGATCTGTTTACCCTGGCTGCGGCACATTCTCGGCCGGCCAGCCCGGCCCTCTCCCCCTGCGCTGTGCCCTCGGTCCCAGGCAGCCTCGGTGGAAGGCACTGCCGGGCCAGGCCCAGGTGGGGGGTGGTAAGGAGGGGACAACAGGCGTGGGGCGAGGGGCTCGCTTCCTCTGGGGTGCTGGTGACTGGGATGTGTGTTGGGGGCTGAGAGTGCTGGGGGGCATGTCTATCTAGGAGTTGGAGAGGGAACTTGATACCCACTACCCCCCACTTGCTCCCCTTCAAGGAAGCCCCTCCCCAGGTCTGCCCCTCAGCCCACAGCACCCGCTCCCGCTTGACGCAGGCAGGTGCCTAGTGACAGGGTGACAGGAGCTGCTGCCACCTGCCTCCCCCTCCACTGCTGCCCATTCTCCCCCTCCTCCCTCTGCTTCCACCCAAAGCTCCAGGTGCCCTGGCGAGGCTCGGCTGTGGGGCACATGAAGGTGGGCACACTTTCTGCCCTTGGGAGAGGGCGACCCCCCCAAGGTGGTGTCAGCGGTGTGGCGGGTGCAGAGCACGATGGTCCAGACTGCACCAGGGAGACCCAGGCCCGCTGCAGAGCAGGCTGCAGGGCCACAGGTGCACGGTGGAGCCTAGTGATGGGGGCAGGAAGAACCCCGGGTGCCCTGGCCAGAAGGAGGCATTGGGCCCTTCACCATTTTTAGACTGTTTCCCTGCTGCCGGCTGTCCAAGGAGACCAAAACACAGACAAACCTGTGCCTTCCCTCTGGCACCTCGGGGCGCCTGGCCTTCTTTGGCCCTGTCCCCGCTGCCCCTGCCGCCTTCCTCTGGCCCCCGCGATCTTCACTGTTCCTTCAGTCACGCGCTCGTCTGTGCCAGCTCTGGGTACTGGGGAGCCAGGGCTTCAGGAGGGATTCCTGGCCAGGGGCCTCCAGTGCCACGGCAGGCACTGGAGGACAGACCCACAAATTCACTAGTGGGGGTGAGGCTAAGGCACCCTGGAGACCCAGGACCGAGAAAGACCGCCCAGACAGGGGCTGCTTCCTGTCGTGGCGTCTGGAGGGCACAGGAGTGTTAGGTGGACGGGGG